TTCTGCGAATATATTATTAATGATTAATAAAACAATAAAAAAAAATAAATAAATTTTTTTAACTTCTATTTTTTTTTATTTTAAAAAAAAAATAAACTATAGTTTTATTTATATTAAATTTAAACTAATAGTGTTTTATCTTTTTGAACATTCTTTTCCTCTTCTTTTTGGGTTTTTTACAGATGCTACTTTTGGTTTATGCATATTTTCATAAGTATCACCATAACGTACATATATCCCACCCCTATAATTTTTTGTAACTTGTCTATTTTTGTTAAGAATCATCTTGTATTGTCCTGTTTTAAAATCCCATGTATATAATTTTGAAAGTTCAATACTGACAATAATATCATTATCTTGCGCTAATACTCCCAATGATAAAAATAAAATGAATACAAATATATATCTCATAATGTTGATCACCAATCTTAATATTACTAACGAGTGATTAAATTCTATTTATAGTTTTTGTTTATCAGAATCTTCTCTTCTCTTTCGTCCACATTTTTGATTATTTTTAATTGTTTTACAAACAATTTTATTTTTCAAACATTGTTCACAAGGTTTTTTCTCATTACATTTTATTTTTTTTTGTCAACAAGACAAACATGCTGAAAAAACATTTAACTTTCTCATTGGTTATATTTTTATTTAAACTGTCTTTTGTCTTTTATTTTTTTTAAATCGTTAAAATTTAATATTTTTATTGGTTCATCATTTAATGAATAAAATTACTAAATCAAGTAAATCATAAAAAAAATCTTACAAATAAAATTTATTGGTTCAGTAAATTTACTAAATTGGGTATATTAAAAAAAATCTTTTAATGAATGAAATTCTAAATTTAAAATTCAAATCGAAATTCTTATCTAGAACCAATCAAAATTAATATTAAAAAAATAATTACATTTTTAATTTATTATACATAAATAAATCTGCATTAAACAATAGAAAAAAAAAATGATATTCTCAGAATTCTCTTAACGATTTAAAAACTTTCTTAACAATGAGTAAATATTTTCTAATTTTAATTTATTATATTAAGTTTATAATTAATATTTTTTTTTTTAAAAAAAATAGTATGTCTCTGGAGGAAACAATATTACTAAAACAACTTATTGAAAAAATTGATGAATTAATGACAACGTTTGAAAAACAAAAAAAAGAAATGAAAGAAAATCATGAAAATGAAATCAGTCTTTACCGAGAATTAATCAATGTAAAAACAAATGAAATTACAAATTTAATATCTACAAAATCAACTAAAATTGCTCTATTATTGATAAATATAAAAAAGAAATTGAACGAATTGATGAAATGAGAAAAAAACACGAATATGAATATAATGAAAGATTGAAAGAAAAAGATAAAATTCATAAACGTGAAAAAGAAGAAAGAGAAAGAACATATAAATGTAAAACTGATATTTTAAAACAAACTATCAATCATTTAGAACAAACTATTAATGATTTACAAAACCAACTTAATGAAAATATTTTTTCTAGATATTAATGAAATAATATTTGTTTTTTTTCTTTTAAAGATCTAAAAGTTTTTTTTTTAATTTAATTTATTACACATGTATTTATTATAATAAAAATTAATAAAAAATACTTTAATTAAACAATTTCAATATTACATTCACGTAAATCAAACGAATAATCATTCTTAAATTTAATATTTACTATTTTTACTTCAGGATAAAGTAATTCGAGTAAATATTCTTTACTAGCTTCATCAATAATATTATTATCTTTATCGAGAACAAATTTATACTGTTTAAGAAATTCTCGATGTTCTTTGTCAAGAAGAGTATTTTGCTTATTATTTAATTTGATTTGAATATATTCAGTTATATGTCCTTCATTGTTAGGAAACATAATTGGTCTTCTAAAATTTATATTTTCATTCTCTCTAAACCATGTAAGGTCTACATGTTTTTTCTTTTTTTCTTTAATTACTTCAGAATCAGATTGAGACATTATTAATAATCAAATTATATAAAAAAAAATTTAATCGGTTTATAAACTGATTAGATTATATTTAAATTTTTTGTCTTGCCAGACAAGCTTCTTTTTTTGGCTGCTGCTGGCCTCGCAATTGCTTATATGTGAGTTGTATTTATATTTTAATATAAGCGAATTGTTATTTGATTCGAATTTTTGACTGGGCCCTCATACTCCCAGTCGCCAATACGAATCGCATTTTGATTCTCAAATAACTTTATATATTTTTTATTTAACTTTTATTAAAATAAGCTATTTAAAATAATCTTTGATTGTGTTTTTACGTTCTGGTAGAATTAATTCAACATCTGGTTTTTTTGAACCTAAATATGTGAGTCTATCTGCTTGTTCATTTCCATAAATACCACTATGTCCTTTCACATATTTTAAATAAGTTTTTCTTTTACGTTCCTTAATTAAATCATTAAATCTATTAACTAAATCAAAATTAGTTTTAGGCTTTTTAACATTTCTAGAAGTAATAACATAAGTACTATTAGTATTTATAATTAATTTTTTTTTTTGTCACAAATTTCAAGAGCTCTAATCACAGCATAAATTTTTGCACGATTGTTAGTTTGTTGTTCTCCTAGTAGTCGTTCTGATAAATGTTTTCGATTGTTTTTATTATTTTCTTTAAAATTT